GTACCTCACGGAGAAAAGTCATCCTCGGCGTGCACCCCACGCACAGCACGCCGTCACCGCACCAGGCGTGTAGAAGGGCACGTCACCTACTGCTGCACCCATCGTCCCCGTCGCCGACGTTGGCCAGGCGCACTTGGCTGATCGCGATGGAGCACCGGTTGAAGGCCAGAAAGTGCAGCGCCTTCGTCAGGAAGTTGGCCGGCTGCTCGGTGGTCGGGATATACTTCAGCACGAATTTCCCGCGCCTCACCATGTGTTGCAGCCAGGCATAGCTGTCAAACATATGTTTAAATGTTATAGTTTAGGTAGGATTTAGTGGGGTACTCACTGTGGGGTACAACCCCTTAGGTTTCTCTCAGGTAGACCCCCCCGCGCCTGCGCCTGTTGAGGTTACTGGTGACTCCGGTCCTGCTGGGAGTGGTGCTGTCCCTGGGGGTGCGGAGCTTGGGGGTGCTGAGTCTGGGGGCGCTGAGCGTGTGGAGCCTGGAGGTGCTGAGCCTGTACGTGAGGAGCCTGGAGGTGCTGCGTCTGGGGGTGCTGCGTCTGGAGGTGCTGCGTCTGGGGGTGCTGAGCCTACGTGTGCGGAGCCTGGGGATGCTGATTCTGGGGGTGAGTCGCCTGAGGGTTCTGAGACTGCTTTTACGCTTTCTCCTTGGAGTAGCCGTGTTTGTCCGTGTGTGCCCCTCACCTCCCAGCAGCTGCACGACTGGTACGGTCGTCGTCAGCGTCGCGCTTCTGCACCTCAGGACTCTACTGTTGGGGGTTCTTCTGCTGGTGTCGCTAGTCCCAGAGGTGCTCGTACTGAGGGTATGGGAGCTGCTGGGGCTGGCGGTGTTGTGACTCAGGGTACTGGAGCTGTAGAGGGTGCTGGAGCTGCTGGAGGTACTGGAGCTGCTGGAGGTGCTGGCGGTGCTGGAGCTGCTGAGGGTACTGGGGCTGCTGGAGGTGCTGGAGCTGCTGAGGGTCCTGGAGCTACTAGCGCTGCTGGAGCTGCTGAGGGTACTGGAGCTGCTGGAGGTGCTGGAGCTGCTGGAGGTGCTGGAGCTGCTGGAGGTGCTGGAGCTGCTGGTGCTAGTGGCACTGCTCAGCCGCGCCTGTTCTTCGCTCCGCCGTCTCCGTCGTCTCAGCCACCACCTGACTCTGCACTTCGCCAGGTTCTCAGTCTTCCCTCATCTGAGTCTGTCTGTCCTCAGTACGTCGGGGGTGCGTGTGCTCTTGGCACGGACGTCCTTGAGGACAGGCAGGAGGACCTTGAGTGTCTTGCAGCCGCTGCGCCTCATCTCGTGGCCATGCTGCTTGCCCCTGAGGGAGACCCGGATGAACCAGACATCCCTACCCCGCGCTCTTACGCTGCGGCAATCGCGGGTGAGTACTCCTCTCAGTGGCAGACAGCCATGGACGCAGAGATGGCATCCTGGAAGTCCACAGGCACCTACGTCGACGAGGTTCCCCCTCCTGGGGTGAACATTGTCAGTGGCATGTGGATTTTCAGGGTGAAGCGGCCGCCACGTTCTCCGCCTGTCTTCAAGGCTCGTTACGTGGCTCGAGGCTTCAGACAGCGAGAGGGAGTTGACTTCTTCCAGACCTTCTCCCCCACCCTGAAGATGACCACTCTTCAGGTGCTGCTACACGTGCCGCTCAGCGTGACTACGAGCTTGACTCTCTTTACTTCAGCACAGCCTTCTTACAGGGCAGCCTGCACGAGGAGATATGGCTGCGCCGCCCTCCTGGCTTCACTGGGTCGTTCCCTCCTGGTACTCAGTGGAGCCTCCGACGGCCGGTCTACGGTCTCCGCCAGGCGTCACGTGAGTGGCACGACACACTGAGGACGACACTTGCGGCTCTTGAGTTTGCTCCGTCGACTGCTGACCCATCGCTGTTTCTGCGCACCGACACTTCGCTGCCGCCGTTCTACATCCTCGTGTACGTCGACGACTTGGTCTTTGCCACTGCTGACACTGAGGCTCTCGCCCTGGTGAAGTCGGAGCTGCAGAAGAGACATACGTGCACAGACCTGGGTGAGCTGCGCAGCTATCTTGGCTTGCAGATCACCCGGGACAGAGCACGCCGCACCATCACACTGACTCAGTCACACATGGTGCAGCAGGTCCTTCAGCGCTTCGGCTTCACCTGGTCCTCAGCACAGGCCACTCCTCTGGCTACAGGTCACTCGCTCTCAGCTCCACCTTCGGACGAGTCCGTAGAGCCGAGTGGTCCTTACCCAGAGCTAGTGGGCTGCCTCATGTACCTGATGACCTGCACTCGTCCTGACCTTGCGTACCCTCTTGGCCTTCTGGCTCGCTACGTGGCTCCTGGTCGGCACCGAAAGGTGCACATGGATGCTGCTAAGAGGGTACTACGCTACTCGTGCAGTACATCGGGCATGGGGCTCGTGCTTGGAGGACGGGGTGACGTTGTCCTCAATGGTCACTCGGACGCCTCTTGGGTTGACGACCAGGCTACGCAGCGGTCGTCACAGGGTTACACCTTCTGCCTTGGTTCTGGTTCAGTTTCCTGGCGTTCTACACGTTCGTCTTCAGTTCTCGGCTCCAGCTGTGAGGCCGAGATCTACGCCACAGCCATGGCTGCACAGGAGCTACGCTGGCTCACCTACCTGCATACCGACTTGGGAGAGCGGCCTCGTTCTCCTCCAGTTCTGTACGTCGACAACAAGGCTGCCATTGCCTTGTGTCAGGAGCACAGACTGGAGCACAGAACGAAGCACATCGCTCTACGTTACTTCCTTGCTTGAGAGCTGCAGCAGCGTGGCCAGCTTCGTCTTGCTTACGTGGCCACTCGGGCCAACACTGCTGATATATTCACCAAGGCGCTTCCGCCTGGTGATCATCAGCGTTTCTGCACTTTGTTAGGCCTTGTTCACACGCTTCCTCACTTGCTGTAGGCTTTGTTTGTACTGTGATCTATATGTATACCTGCATGCTTGCTCTTGTAGGTAGATAACACTGTGCTGTTATTGTTACACATATATCTCTGCATGTGAACTGGCCTTGTGGCCTTTTTGCTTGTGCTCAGACTGCGTGGTGACGTTGTGATCCACCCTGAGCTTGTTTTGCACTTGCTGTCTGGCCTTGTGACCCTCTGTTCTCCCCCACTTTGCCTATGGGGGTGTGTCAAACATATGTTTAAATGTTATAGTTTAGGTAGGCTTTAGTGGGGTACTCACTGTGGGGTACAACCCCTTAGGTTTTCCTTTTGTACCAACACTCTCGATAGTTCAACACCACCTTGCCTAAGATTCTAAGAATTGCGTGGCTCCATGTGCTTGAGGTTGCCCGTCAGCTCCAAGCCCTCAGCGACCGTGATGGCTGACTTGTTGTCCACCCGAAGGACAGTCGGCTTCCCAGCGTCGAGCTACTGGAATTCCGCAAGGAGGAAGCGGAGTCGGCGTCCCTCCTTGCCAGCATCCGTAGCCGCCACGTACTCGACTCGGTCAATGACAATGTCGCGCACTTGATGCGCGAGCTCGACTAGGACACGGCGGCCCCTCTGTAGATGAACACGTAGGGGGCTTCAAGCCCCGTCCCTTCTCTGTGCGCTGTCCCTTCGCTGTGTGCTGTCCCTTCTCTCTGTCCCATCCTCATTGAAACCGTTCTCATCCACAGGCATTCCTTTCCTTCTCCTGGGGGCCATGAAAGTTCCTTGCCACCAATGCAACGACTCATGCTCACATGATTGTTTTGTGATGTGAGCCCTTGCTGCTTCTCATTCTTTCGCCATTCCAACCCAACGCATGGAGGGTCAGGTGAAGCCTATTTCCATCCTCAGGCGTTCCTTCCCGTCTGCGGCAACACGCCTTCCTCCACCGGTGCAAAGATGATGACGCTGCAGGGTGTTTTTGAGAATTCTCAAAAACACCCTGCGGCAACATGCCTTCCTCCACCGGAGCAAAGGTGGTGGCGGCTCCCATCCTTGGGCATCTCTCATGCTGCCTCTCACCTGCTTGGAACCACTTTCCCATCACTGCTGTTGGCACTCTGCAGACTAGATTAGGTACATGTACCTAGTGGGAAATTCCACAATCATTTCACACGACTGCAATAATGTGCAACCATTTTTATTTCATTCATATCAATTTGTTGGGAATTGCTTGGAGGCCTTGCAATGGAAAAGTGCATTTGCGACTGCTTTCTTGCAAGGTATTTTTAATTAAATATGACCCAGAATATCAATTGTGTGGTACCGGTATTTTGTTTTCCTAATGAAGATCATGGGTATTTCGTTGAGTACACAGCGGCATGAAAATATGTGCATACAGAAATTTATCTGAGAAGTTGGGGAGGTAAATACCAGCAAAATATATGTCTCTACACCACGCCAGGTCAGGGATGTCACCATACCAAACCGACCCGTCCGCGTTGCAGGATGTATCTAAGGATTTCACACGACACTTGTGCTATGGATTCCCTAGCCGGATGCAGAGGCTCCGTTTCAAAATGGAACATGACTGCATTTCGAATAATATATCACCCTGCTAGGAGCAGACCATTTTCACTGCACATAATTGCAATGTAACAAGGCTGCAGGAAAACGAAATTGATCGAGCTACTATCGAGAGTACCAGAGATCCTCCATCCACTCTCTCCAATTGGGCCACGCGTCGTGCAATTCTCGAGAAGGATGAAACCAGCTCGCGCAACTTCAACGACGTGTTCCGGACACAACGATATTTTGTAACTTGAGTTGAACGAAGTATTTTTCTGACTGGGTGCCTTCGTTAGATTTCGCGAGCCTTATCCCCTGATTTCTCGAACTTATCCTCCATTAGGACGCACCAACAGCTAAAGCGCTTTACGCTTTAGGAGCAAGCCAGTCCGCCATTTTCGAGGTCTTCGCCCTTTGGCAAACCTCCTCTGGGACTTTCGTACGGATTTTCCAGCATATTGCGAGCTTGCGTCCATTCGTACGAATTTCGCGTGGTTAATAACTGCCTCGCGTTCTCAATTTCAAGGGAGACTGAGCTTGACGAGTAGGTTAAGCCAATGGCGTCCCTCCTCGCATCGCCAGCCACACTGGCTGGGCCTCGAACCGCAGGTTCGTCTTTTCTCCATAACCTTCCTGTGTCGTCCATATCCGTAGTCTGACTATAACTCGTTAACCAGCAATCAAATCCTGGATTGATGAGCACTCATTTACGCACTCGTCATCATCGCTATGTCGTCCTCTGTTTATGTAACCAGTTCTGTTAAGAAATGGTTCCTATTTCGCCATAGGCGGCTGACTCCTATTCCTATTCTCTCAGCTCATGAGCGTATCGCTTCCCTATCACACTCCCGATTCGACATCCCCGAATTCCCCCCCCTCCCCCTCCCCCTCCCCCTCCCCCTCTCCCCGTTCTTCCCTCGTAGCTTTCGCACCTCCCCAGCAGGCTAACAGTTCGATCCAATCCTCCCTCTCCGCCCCTCCCCTCCTCCCGCCCTCCCCCTCCCCCCACTTCTCCCTTCCCCTCCCCGTCTCCTAACAGCATTCGCCAAAGATCATCTCCCGCATCGCCCAGCAGGCTAGCAGCCCGATCCCCTTCCCTTCGTCTCCTCCCACTCATCTGCGCTCCTCGCTATTCCCGTCATCCCCACCCAACCCCCCCTCAAAAACCCCCTCCCACTCCCTCCCCGAGCAGCTTTCGCCAAGGAGCAACTTCCCCATCTCCCCAGCAGGCTAGCCACCCGATCCAATCAATCCCCCCTCTTCCTCCCCCAACCAACCCCCCTTTCCCCTCCCCCTCGTCCCTCCTCGCAGCGTTCGCCAAGGATCATCTTCCGCATTTCCCCAGCAGGCTAGCAGCCCGATCCAAACCTCCCCTCCCCCCCCCCCCTCTTCCCCACCTCCCCGTCCCCACTCCCCCCCCCTTCCCCTCCCCGTCCCTGTAAACAGCATTCGCCAAGGAGCATCTCCCGCATCTACCCAGCAGGCTAGCAGCCCGATCCAATCCTTTCCCCCTGCCCCCCCCCCCAATCCCCCTCTCCCCTTCCCTACTTCTTCCCACTCAGCATTCGCCAAGGGCCATCTCCCGCATCTCCCCAGCAGGCTAGCAGCCCGATCCCCGTCCCTTCGCCTCCGCCCATTTCCGAGACCAGTAGCGGCTCAGGTCAGAACGCGTGCTCCTCCTTACCACACGCACACACACACACACCCGCACACGCACACCACGCCATGCCATCAGTGGTTTTCTAGACGATCACCCCCTTCCCCTCGCCTCCTCTCATTTCCGAGACCAGTAGCGGCTCAGGTCAGAACGCGTGCTGCTCCTTCCGCACGAACACAAACACACACACACACACACACACACACACACACACACACACCCGCACACACATACACACCCGCACACGCACACACACACACACACACACCCGCACACGCACACCACGCCATGCCATCAGTGGGTTTCTAGATGATCATCCCCTTGTCCTCGCCTCCTCTCATTTCCGAGACCAGTAGTGGCTCAGGTCAGACCGCGTGCCCCCCCTTACCGCACACTCACCACCACACGCCTTTGCGATCAATGGATTTCTTTAAGAATTCTCAAACTACCCTGCAGGCTCCTTCCTTTTTTTTTGTTTTTTTTTTTTCAATGCCTTAATTCACTTCATTCTTCACCTACCCCCGCCTTTACCCCCTCTCGTCCCTGCCTTTCCCGCCCTCCTCCTCCATGTTGAAATCATGCAGGGAGGCAAGGCAGGAGAGGGCGGGCCACTGGGTCATCCACGTCACCTTTGAGTCGACTCAAGAGCCCACCCATTCTTCACCTGCCCCCGCCTTAAATACAACCCCTCCCCATCCCCTCCCTCCATGTTGAAATCATGTAGGGTGGCAAGGCAGGAGAGGGCGGCCCACTGAGTTCGTCCACGTCGCCTCTGCCAGGAAGCAGCAGCAGCAGCAGTAGCAGTAACAGGCGTTTGTCAACAGTAGCCCAGGCAACGCAGCAGCAGAAATCGTCTGGCTCTGCGGCAGCAGGTGGGTGCATGATTCAGACGAGGTCTTTATTCGTGTGTGTATCGAGAATTAGGCGCCTAAAAAATCGTTTGTCAACAGTAGCCCAGGCAACGCAGCAGCAGAAATCATCTGGCTCCGCTGCAGCTGGTGGATGCACGATTTTTGAGGCGCCTCGAAAATTGCAGCTGGTGGGTGCATGATCAGCCATGTAGACTAGGCGGGTGAATGTAGTGGCTGGGACGAGCCTGACGTTTAAGGGCATTGTCTGTAGCTCGTTTGTTGACAGTAGCCCGTGCGACACACACAGCAGCAGGAATCGTGTGCCTCTGCTGATGATGCTGGTGGGCGCATGGGTATGTATGCCTGTGCGTGTGTAGAGGGCGAGAGAGGGGGTTGCTGTTGCAGCTGCCAGCTGGTGGGTGGGTGTATGTTTCGGACGGGGCTGTAGGCGTGCGTGTGTGTATGTACGTTAAGGGCCATTGTCTGTTTAGACATAAGTCGACAGCAGCCCTTTTGAGTCAACTCAAAAGTCAACTCGGCATGCGTGTGTGTATGTACGTTAAGGGTCATTGTCTGTCTGTCTAGGCATTAGTCGACAGTAGCTCAACCAGCCCAGCACCAGAAATCGTCTGGCTCTGCTGCAGCTGGTGGGTGGGTGTATGATTCAGACGAGGCTGTAGGCGTGCGTGTGTGTATGTACGTTAAGGGTCATTGTCTGTCTGTCTAGGCATTAGTCGACAGTAGCCCAGGCAGCCCAGCGGCAGAAATCGTCTGGCTCTGCTGCAGCAGGTGGGTGAATAAGTCAGAGGGTTTTGGCGTGTGTGTTGAGGGTTCAGGGCTGAAAAGAAAGGGTTTGAGGGGGAGGGGGGGGTAGGGGGGGAGGGGGGGAAAGAGGGTGTCTGCTGCAGTGGATGTATGATTCAGACGAGGCTGTAGGCATGTGAGTGGAGAGGGCTGGAAAGGGTTAGGGTGGTGGTGAGAGGAAATCGGGAGAAGGTTGCTGCAGCTATGGGTGGGTGGTTGGTGTTGACAAGGCTGTTAAGGGCACATGTATGTGAAGGGTGTATGACCCACCCGGCTCTCCTGCCTCTTTCTCCTTCCTCTGTCTCCCCTCCCCACCTTATCCCCTCCCCTTTTCCAGTCGAAGACAGCAAGATCGACTTTGGCGACTTTTTCAAGGGCGATTTACCCAAGAAATTCCTCATGCTCCTGGGTCTGCTCGCCCTATCCCGCGTGGGAATCTACATTCCCCTGTGGGGGGTCGATATCTCGGCCTTCCAGGAGCAACTGGGGGAGGGCTCATTCCTGGCCACCCTAGATACCCTCTCAGGGGGCGGAATCGGACGGCTGGGATTGTTTTCGCTGGGCATCGTGCCGTATATCAACGCTCAGATCGTGTTTCAGCTGCTGGGGACGCTGTATCCGAAGATTGCAGATCTGCAGAAGAAGGAGGGAGAGGCGGGGAGGAAGAAGGCACAGCAGTATATGAAGTATATGGCTGTGGCGTTTGGTGCTCTGCAGGTATTTTGATTCGCTAGAAGCACACTCTAATTCTGTAAGGTAGGTGGCCAGCAGAAGAAGGAGGGAGAGGCAGGGAGGAAGAATGCGCAGCAGTATATGAAATACATGGCTGTGGCGTTTGGTGCCCTGCAGGTGGGTTGATTCGTTACAGTCTGCTTGACTTGACTCGATATAAGAGCTCTCATCTCAAGGGCTGGTAGGTAGGTAGGCAGGTAGGTGATTAGGAGGGGGAGGGGGAGGGCGAGGCAGGGAGGAAGAAGGCGCAGCAGCAGTATATGAAGTATATGGCTGTGGCGTTCGGTGCCCTGCAGGTATGCTGATTGACTCGCTGTAAGAACACTCAAGGTATGCTGATGCGATATAAGAACACTCAATCCCCTAAATCTCCATCCATTACAACCCAACCACGCCCCTTCCCACCCTATCCCTCCCCCCTCCACCCCCAGGCTATCGGCCAGGTGGCCCACCTCCAGCAGTACGCCTACGACCCCTCGGTCGCCTGGGCCGTCTCACTGCTTGCCTTGCCTTCTCACTGTGTCTCCCTGTCCTTTTCTCCCTCCCCATCCTACCCTCCCTGTTCTCCACCCCCAACACCAGCTATCGGGCAGGTGGCCTACCTGCAGCAATACACCTAAGACCCCTCGGTCGCGCCCTGATCACCGTCTCACTGTGTCACCTCCACCCTGTTCTACCCGCTTACCCACCAGGCTATCGGGCAGGTGGCCTACCTGCAGCAGTACGCCTACGACCCGTCGGTCGCCTGGGCCGTCTCAGCCGTCTCGGGTCTCACCTTCTCTTTCCCTCCCTGTCTGAATCTCCCCATTCACTCCCCAGGTTATTGACCCTCTGACCCATTGACCCACCCTCCTCTCTCTCTCCGTCTCTCCCTCTCCTCCTGCCTCGTTCTCCCGTCTTTCCCTGTCTGAATTCCTCCCCAGGCCATAGGCCAAGTGGCCTACCTGCAGCAGTACGCCTACGACCCCTCAGTCACCTGGGCCGTCTCAGCAGTCTCCGGTCTCACCCTCGGCTCCGTCGCTGTCATCCTTCTTGGCGACAAGATCACCCACCTCAAGCTCGGCAACGGGACATCGCTGCTCATCTTCACCAACATTGTGTCGTACCTGCCTTTTCATGCCCTGTTCTCCCCTGTCTTCTTCTCCCTCTTCCTCCAGGCCATAGGCCAAGTGGCCTACCTCCAGCAGTACGCCTATGACCCCTCGGTCGCCTGGGCAGTCTCCGCTGTCTCGGGTCTCACCCTCGGATCCGTGGCAGTCATTCTTCTGGGAGACAAGATCACAGACCTCAAGCTCGGCAACGGGACCTCTCTGCTCATCTTCACGAATATTGTGTCTTACCTGCCGGCGTCCATTGGACGGACGATTACAGAGGCGTCTGAGCAGGGGAACGTTACCGGAGAGGCGCTGTTGCTCGCGTCGTTCCTGCTGCTCGTCTTCGGGATCGTCTACGTGCAGGTGGGTACGGGTGGGTGCAGGTGGGTGGGTGTGGGTGGGTGTGCTGTTGTCTTCCTGCCTGCCTGCATCGTTCTTCTCCCTGACAGAGCAGGGGAACGTGAACGGAGAGGCGCTGCTGCTGACGTCACTCCTGCGGCTTGTCTTTGGGATCGTATACGTGCAGGTGGGTGCGGGTGGGTCCCGGTGGGTGCGGGTGGGTGTGCCGCGATCTTCCTGACTCTCTGCCTGCCGTCTCCCCGCCTGCCTTCCAGCCTGCCCGCCACCCACCTGCCTGCCCGCCCGCCCGTCTGCCTGTGCGCCTGCCTTCTGAGCAGGAGGCAGAGGGGCACATTCCCATCCTGGTACAACTAATTCCACTTCCTGCGCCCTCCCCTTTCCTCCCACCCTCTCCCCCCTTCTCCACAACTACCCCCTCCCCACACAAGCAGACAGCAGAGAGGTGCATCCCCATCAACTATGCATCAACTCTCGGTACAACCAAACCCAAACACTCTCCGCCCCTCCTCTCCACCCCGTTCACCCCCAATTCCCCCCCCCACCCACACCCACCCCCTCCCACCCACCGAGCAGACAGCAAAGAGGCGCATCCTTATCAACTATGCATCTTGGTACAGCCAACCCTAACCGCTGTGCTGTGCCCTCCCCTTCCCTTCCCCCACTTCCTCCCGCTCCACAACTACCCCCTTCCCTCTGAGCAGGAGGCAGAGAGGCGCATTCTTATCAACTATGCATCTCGGAACAGCCAACCCTAACATACCCCCACCCTTCCTCCCGTTCCCTCCCCCTCTTCTCCCCTACTTGCCACAACCACTCGCCTTCAACCGAGCAGGAGGCAGAGCAGCGCATCCCCATCAACTATGCGTCTCAGTACAACCAACCCCACCCACCCACCCAACCCCTTTCCCTCCGTTTCCCTCTCACTTCCCGCACCACCACCACCAAAACCACTTCCCTTTCCCTCCGAGCAGGAGTCAGAGCGTCGCATCCCCATCAACTACGCCTCTCGGTACAACCAAACCCACCCACCCACACAGAGCGTCGCATCCCCATCAACCAAACACTCTTTGCCCCTCCCCTCCACCCCGTTTACCCCCAATTCCCCCCCCCACCACACCCACCCCCTCCCACCGAGCAGGAGGCAGAGAGGCGCATCCCCATCAATTATGCGTCTCGGTACAACATCAAGACGCGGAACGCTTACCTGCCATTCAAGGTAGCGCCCCCCCCCTTGAAGCTAACACCTCCCCCTTTGAAGGCAACACCACCTTCTTTTTCTTGCATCAACCCCTCACTCACTCACTCACTCGCTCTCTCACTCACCCCCCCCCCCCCCCCCCCCCTCTCGCTCTCAACCCAACAGAAGCCATTCCCATCGTTGTCTCCTCTCTCCTCATCTGCCTGCTTTCCCATTCTCACTCATCCAACTTTTGAGTCGACCCCTCTCGTTCTATCCCATCCACCCCTCTCCCATCCACCCCTTTCCTCTTGCCCAACCCTTTTCTCTTATCCAACCCTTTTCTCTTATTCCAACCCTTTTCTCTTATTCCAACCCTTTTCTCTTATTCCAACCCTTTTCTCTTATCCGACCCCCAATTCCCCCCTGCAGGTCAACTCAACAGGAGTCATGCCAATCATCTTCTCCTCCTCTCTCCTTGCAGCTCCCTACTCCATTGCTCGCTTCACCGGCAGCGCTGCCTTCCAGTCCGCTGCTACGGCTCTCTATCCTGGAGGTAGGTTAGGTTACTAGTGCCAACAACAGTTTTGAGCTGCATGGTAACCACAAGAGTCTGTAACATGGTAACCACAATGCTGCTCCCTACTCCATTGCTCGCTTCATCGGCAGTGCTGCCTTCCAGTCCGCTGCTGTTGCTCTCTACCCCGGAGGTAGGTTAGGCCAGATGGTAAGAACGATGCTAGTTCCAGTGCCAGCACAGCAGCCCCGCCGCCTCCTCTCAGCGGCCCCGCCGCCTCCTCCCAGCGGCCCCGGACGCCGCCCTCTCAGCGGCCCCGCCGAGCCGCCCAGCAGCCGAGCCGCCCAGCAGCCGAGCCGCCCAGCAGCCGAGCCGCCCAGCAGCCGAGCCGCCCAGCAGCCGCGCCGCTGAGCCGCCCAGCAGCCGAGCCGCCGAGCCGCCCAGCAGCCGAACCGCCGAGCCGCCAAGCAGCCGAGCCGCCGAGCCGCCCAGCAGCCGAGCCGCCGAGCCGCCCTGCAGCCGAGCCGCCCGAGCCGCCCTGTCCGGTAAGAGCAGCGCCTCTTTCACAGCACTGCCCTCACCCTACTGTTTGCGCTGCTAGTCTACTGCTGTCATGGCTACCCCTAGTGTCCTCTCTTTTGACGCTGAGGGTCGGGCCATTGACTTTGACGTCTGGATAGATGACCTGCAGCTTTTCTTACAGTGCGATAGGGCAGACGGCCTCTCCCTCTTTGACCTCACTTCTGGTGCCTCTCCTGCCCCCGCTGCTGATGCTGACGCCACTGTTCGCTCACAGTGGGCCACGCGCGATGCTGCTGCACGTCTTGCTGTGCGTCGCCACCTGCCTACCTCTGAGCGTGCGCACTTTAGCCAGTACAAGAGTGCTCACACCTTGTACGACGCTGTAGTTGCGCGCTACTCCTCCCCTGCCACTGCTGCACTGAGCCGCCTCATGCTACCGTACCTCTTCCCTGACCTTGCTGCCTTTCCCACAGTCGCTGACCTCATTACGCACCTCCGCACTAGTGACACTCGCTACCGCGCTGCGCTTCCTGCTGAGTTCTGCGCCAAGAACCCCCCCCCCCCATGTACATCACCCTCTACTACATAGTCACCCGTCTCCCTGACTCCCTTCGCGTAGTCAGGGACCACTTCCTCTCAGTTTGCCCCACCACTCTCACCGTTGACCTCCTCGAGAAGGCCCTCCTAGCAGCAGAAAAGAGCATAGTAGCTGTAGGAGCCTCTCGTGGTGACCCTCGCACCCCCATCTTTGAGGGGTGTTCCCCCTCCCCTCTTTTGCCCTCTGTTGCCTCTGCTGCTGCGGCCGACCTCGTTGGTCTCGAGTCGGTCGGCGCTGCGTCTGCCCCGAGCGGGAGACGCCGCACCGGCAAGGGCAAGGGGGGCAAGGGTGCTGGAGGGGCTGGCGGGGGTGGCGGAGGTAGCGGTGGCGGCAGTGGAGGGGGTGGGGGTGGTGGTGGGAGTGGTGGCGGGGGTGGAGGTGTCGGTGGCGGCAGTGGAGGCGGAGGCGGCGGCGGCGGTGGCGGTGGGAGCGGAGGTGGCGGAGGTGGCGGCGTTGGAGGAGGCGGCGGCGGAGGAGGTGGAGCTGGTCGGGGTGGCGCTGGGCAGAGGGTCGGCTCCGGTGGTGGTCAGCGCCAGCAGCAGCAGCAGCAGCGGCAGCAGCGCACTCGTGACATCCCCCCCCCTCAGCAGCTCCGTGAGTGGTACGCTGCACGCCAGCGGGGTGGGGGTACTGGTCCGTGCACCTACGTCCTACGCACCGGCGACCGCGCGGGTGAGCAGTGCGGGGGTGCGCACTCCACCCAGCGCTGCTTTGGTCGCCTGACGG